TCTAAAAATTGAATTGCGGCGGAGGATAACACCACCCCCAAGGAACCGGAGCACAGTGGCAGGAATTTTCAAAAATCGCGGACACATTATTTTAAGCCATTTTAAGGTTTATGCGGTGGTAAATTTATGCTAAAAAATTAATATTAATAAAATGTTTTAATTATGTACACAAATTCGCAAATTTGTTTTAAACAATTTGGAAAAGTTCGGTTTTGTCGATCCTCCATTCTCCAAAAATATAAATTAATAAACAAATATATTACGCAATATTACGAGCAAAATCATTTATATACATTTTTTTATACATCTTTTCTTTGTCAATTTCGCATCTTTAGCTTTATTTATATCGGCTACTAAAGTGACTTGGTCCAAAAAACCCTATATCGATGTTAAAATTACATTTAAAAGTTGACTTTAAAGCAAAACCGGTTAAATCCACGTTTTTTTACCTACTCTCTAAAAATGAATTAGTCAAAAATTACTAATTTAATAGTTGAAGCGTGGTAATTAAAAAGCGTCTAAGTGCCACTGCAGTGCTAAGCAAAAAGGTGGTAACTAATGCATTACTTAATATTGTTCAATACATTTGTGCTTTGCACGACAGCGGTACTTGGACGCTTTTGAATTACCACGCTTCAGTTATTAGTGGCTGCTTTTTCACTTGTACCATAGTTAACCATGGAATATAATGGTATCCCAAAATTTAACAGCCAATTCTTATGTAAAATTGTCCCCTGAATCCAAAAATACCGTCAAAAATTATGAAAGTGGAGCAGATTTAGTCAATTCCATATTAAATGGAAAATTGACTATATCTCAAAAACTGTTCTACTTTTTTTACTTTTGACGACATTTTCGAATTCAGGGGACAATTTTACATAAGAATTTGCTGTTAAATTTTGTGATACCATGGTATTTTCTATGGTTAACCATGGTACAAGTGAAAAAGCAGCCACTAATTACTATTAAATTAGTAATTTTTGACTAATTCACTTTTAGAGAGTAACCTAGTCGGGGAATTTACTGATAAATACTTTTTACCTTGTAAAATAACTTCTGCTAATTAATGTAACTTTTTTTGTAATATGATAAATTCATGGACATATTTCATATTCTGCAACAGGCAAAAAAAGGCAGCCTAATTCTTTTGACTTTAAAAAAAGAAAATTTGATGAACGTTCTGGTACCAAATACTTTCACTCACACCAAGACACACCTAAAGAAATATCTTCTGGTTTGTAAAAGATTTATCTACTTTGAAAGGCGATGGTAAAAGGTTTATAAAAACCTTATTTTTGGTAAAATTTGCAATTTTAGACTTTTATATATAAGAACAAGGATAAGGAATGTGGTAAAATATACCATCATTTCCTTTCATTAATTACGCAAAACAAAAATGGGCTTGAAAAACGTACATACAATTTGCTCTAAAAAACCGACACGAACAATGTGACTTTTTAAGCGGGCATTTTATCATAAAAAAATATATTTCTTTTAAAATCATAATCTCTGGGCCTTCTTTTCTTATAACTCGCAATTTAAAATTTACTATGTTGATTTTTACAAAATAGGGTTTTGTCCGCGATTTTTGAAATTCCTCCCAGTGTGCGGAGGGGGTCTCTAAGAATTCTCTGGGGCCCAAAGGCGGAAGGCTAGACGTCCGGCTGAGGAAGGGGAAGATACGGAAATTTGTCTGCATAGCCCTTGGCGGCTAAAATAGCGTTGAAGTTAAATAAAGCACATAGGTTAATCTAATAGTGTTTATTTAAAAGCAAAAACAATTCATAATTTTAATCTGTAAAATAAACGTACGAAAAATATATTTTCTTGAATAGAATCCAATAATACGTTACAGGTGTAATTTAATATAAGGTAATTAAATAAATAAATAGATAAGTAAATAGCACAATTTTCTATAAATGTAGTTTAAAATTTGATATTTTAAAATTTGTACAAACTTCGGTCTTACAAATATTTACTTACAAATAATTAATTAAAAGTATACATTCAATACCACACTTTTAACCGTAATTATTTTTCCTAAAAATTAAATACTTAGTACCTACCTACTTTACCAGAGTGGTAGGTATTTAAAAATTATACTAGAATAGATCAAGTTCACTATTCTATAAATAATGTTGTGGTTAATACCATAAACACAAATAGTCACCAAATGCCTATAAATACGTTAAAAACAAATTGTTGAAGTTTATCCAAAAAGGTTAGTGTTTTGTTTATACCAAGATGATTAATCTTTATTTTGGAAGCTGATGAGTTATAACTTGCTTCGGTGATACATATAAACACATATAAATACATATGCCCACTTGGATTTTAACAAAAAATATAGAAAATATTCAATAAATAATAATAATTTCAGTGCCTTTATTAAATATATAAAATTCCATAAATGGACTAGATTCATTAAATAATAAATATTTAAACACATTTAAAAGCTTATTATAATCGTACTACCGGTGCATTCGCCATTTTTTACAATAACTAACATTGTATCGTTAGGTGAGAGATGTAAATCATCCGAGTCAATAATGCGCATTATTTTAAGCGTAATAATATGCTTTTTCTACTCCAATTAAGTAATTTTCATTGATAACAAAATTTATTATAACCTTTTTTCCCTATTTTAAAGATCATTATAGTCGCTCCTCGTATATATAAACATCTGACATTTGTTAACCTTACTTTTTCCCAAATTAAAACCTGATTGGTTTAAATAACAGTGAATATTGAAATCAGCCAATCACTGATGCCTAACATCGTGAATAAGGAGTTCAATATTCCCGTTGTTAGGCCGGGCGGTTATATTACCATTATTTACGAAAAAAAAACAAGTTATATCAAAAATATGAAATAGGAATAGGAAATAAATAAATAAAATTATTATATATTTTTATACAGGGTGGTGCTAATTTCTATCCCTCAATTTTCATCTCATATACCGTAAGAGATACGAAGTGGGTAAAATTACAAAAAAGTTGCGCTATTTTATGACAATTTTAAATGTCAAGAGATCTAGAATACCTCCAACCAATGCTGAAATAACCTATTTGTTTTTAAAATTATTCAAACAAAAATAATACAAGTGTGTTACATCGTCGTAAAGATACAAATTTGCCCTATTTTTTATGAAAAAATCTAATATGGCGCCCATAAGGAAAATCAATGTTGAGCATAATCTAAGTCATGAAGTTTCTGTTTAATGAATATGTTTTAGTGTTCTGTTTTTTTTTTTTAATATGACGATTTGAATTTTTGTTTTTTTAATGTATTAATTAACTATTATTAATAAATGAAAAATCAATAAGAGCTTTGTGTTGCTGAAACGTCTGAGGATTACATAAAAAAAGCTAAATTTATACAGCCTTTTTTAAATAAAAAAACAGAAAATCGTGAAAATGGGGCATTTAATATATATTTTAAGGGATATCTTCTCACTGAATATTAACCAAAGATTTTCGGTTTTTTTTATGACATCTACCACTTGTCATTTTTGCCATCTAAGGTGACAGATTTAAAAAATGACAGACGTCAAAAATGACAGGTAATAGATGTCAAAATTGATTGATAACAGAGCTCATTCTTGTCGTCTATCATTTTTGACTTTTAACATCTTTAAACGCTATTTTTATTTCAAATCGCATGATACGCATTGGATCCAATATAGGCAACTATCTGTATCCTGTAATTTTTACCTTTTGACATCTGTTATAACTAATTTGTCTCATCTATCATTTTTGACATTTAACATCTCACATCTCTAAATGCTTCAAAACCCGGTTCATCGCGGTTCATCGCGCTTTTTAAAACTCGATCTCAGCAACAAATTAAAAACTCCCCTCATTAAACAAAAATGAAAATCTTTGGAAAAGTACTGGTTATAAAAATGAATATATATTAAAAGCCTTATTTTTAGGATTTTCCTTTTATTTATTTAAAAACAAACTTTATAAAAGTATATTATGTATCAAGTTTTATAAACGCTATTTTAGTTACGAGTTTTATTAGGCACGAGCGAAGCTTGCGAGCGAGTTTTTAGTAAAAACGAGTGTCTGGAGAAGTATAAAACAACGAGTTGCATACTATACTTTATCTACGACTAACGCAAAGAAGAATTTAAACCCAATTTTATTTGTTAAAAAATTTACATCTGTTAACTGTCAACGGATTAAACCTCACTTTTTTCCAATTTATAATAAAGCCAACTTCAGCCCGTGACTAAAATGCCCAAAAGCCACTGTTCCTAACTTTAGTCCGTAACTAAAACACCATAAAGTCAGAGGTTATCAATGGGAGATTAGTTAATTAAGTTTTTTTTAAAACTTTTTTTAAATCCGCAAAGGTTTGAGCAACAAAAAGCATTTATTTATTGATTATTTTCGTATTATTTACAGTTTAGAGATTTTCATGATTTTATAGTGGTTATTTTTTAATCCTTTTTTTTTTAATTTTTTTGTGTTACTTTGCTTTGCCAACAAAACTTACAAACATATTCAAAAGTCAGAAACTTTGATGATGACAGTTATTTATGGATATGTTATTGTATTTCACTAATAAAAACAAAGTGAGTGAATCACATAGAAAATAACCTTGTTTTGCGTCTTCAACTGTTTGTTCTAGAGAAATGCTGGTATTTCATATTTGGTCTATTAATTTAGTAAATTACTTTTTTTCCATAAGTGTTATTTATTAATAGTGAATAAGTTGTTTGTGAATAATCTTCCTTTAAAATTAAATTAATACTACAAATGAAACTTACTACGGTGAATCAACAAACAAAATTAAATTGGGTCAATAGAAAAAAATCGACGTTTAATTCCAATAAAATGATTGGTAGTCGTTGGCGTGCATAAAAAACTGCATAAACCATAATTAAAAATAGCCGGCGATCGTCCTTCCAGAAATATAAAATCTGAGTCAGATATGCGCGACCGTCTGCGCAATGCGCGCTTTTTAATGCGAAAGCTGCAAATTTGCCGAGTAAAATACGCTTGCGCGCCCTCCGACGGGCACTTTATTCTTGCTTTTGGCGTCGAGACGCTCATACGAACGACTTAGCCACCACTGAAAGGCGGCGACAGCACGCGGGTTTCTACACTGAAATTTTCGACGGTCAGTGCATTTTAAACGAACAAAGGACTTATCTACATTCGTCATGTCTTCTTCCTCAGTTGCGAGGGCCTCCAAATACTCCTACCGGTCTTCCGGAGGAGGTGCGGCCAATGCCGATGTCACCATTGAATACAGCGCAGACTTGACCGCTCTTTCCAGATTAGAGGTAATTAATTCGACCAATTACAAGGATAACGACCATGTGCGATTTGTGATATTTTTGTGATTCATGTGCAGTGCTTTAGTGGCCAAAAAAGGAAAACAGTTTTTAAAGTTTTTTTTTGTGAAACTACCATGGGTTTAATTTTGTCACCAAATCACACAACACATAATCACAAAATATATCATATTTTGCAAACCATTTATTACATCATAAGTCCAGGCAATTTTTTTGGTAAAATGTCAAATATCTAAAAATAACTATTTTTGCAGGACAAAATTCGCCTACTTCAGGATGACCTCGAAATTGAAAGAGAACTTAGATCAAGAGTGAGTACACCGTTTGCTTCAATAAGCAAGAATATCAAATTTATGCTTCCACAAGTTTAATATACTCAAATTAAGAAAGCTTTTAACCATTAACTATTATTATGATTTTAGCTTATATTAACTTCTAATTAATTGTCTGTAGATGAGGCATAGCATAGTAAATTCTGGAGAACACTTTGAACTCCATTTAAAATTGCGTAAACAACAAATTTAGAAAAGTGATTAAACTAGGTTAGCGCAAAAGCTATTTCCATCCGGTTTTTGGCAAGGTGCACCTCGGATTGGACAGTTCAGGTTACTCGCAATTTAAAAATAACTTTTACCTGAAGTCTTCTGCATGATTTGTCCGGCCGAAATTGCCGAAACTACTTACCAAACGCCGTGGCTGGATAATTCGTGAAAATCATACGTGCCGCGGAAAAAATACCAATTGGCAAAATTCCACTGGTCGCAAGTATAAAAGCTTGCTAAAAATAATTTCGGGAGATGTTACATAGTCTGAAACCGTTTTCACAAAAGTAAGGCGAATTTTATTTTTAGACACACAATGGGTATTTTTAAACACAAATTAAGAAAACACAAAAATATAAAATCCACATTCCATTCTAATTGGATACGTTACAACATGACTTAGTTTAAGTCGAACATATTTCCAAAATTATTGAAACTATGCTCATTATTGGCTAATTATTAGCCGAGTACATAAACTTGAATTTTTTATTATTTGCTTATATTTTATATAGGTCAGTTTTGAAATTTTGGTGCTAAAAATAAAATCTCTTTTAATAGACTGTTTCAAAAACAACATAATTCATATCTAATTTGAGTAAAAGGTACATACTATTAATTTAATAAGTAAAACATGTTTCTGTTTATGGTATAAAGCATTAAAAATATATTAATTATAAATATATATTTTTATTTTAAAAAAATAGCTATAAAAATCATCAGTTTAAGACTTTTTCAGAATAGTTTGTTTACGAGTAAGCTTGTTTTTACCATATTTGGTAGCGACTCTTGTAAAATAAAAGTAGATATTTTTTACAGTACAAAATGTTAAAAATAAAAAAAATTAAATTAACTTCCTTGTTAGAAACTGACGAAATAGCCAAATCAATAAATATTGTGATTACTTATTCCATTTGTAATTTACTTCTGCGTTCTTCAAACCTTGTTCATACTTTGAATATTTCGATCACACTTATAGAAAAAAATAAGCTATCTTCCTAGCTAAAGTTCAAAATCCTAAAAGCCCCGAAAAATAAAAATATTTTTTCAGTAAGTACGAAAAACATTATATTTATAAAAATCATTATACATCGAGGATAAGTTGGATAGTTTCAAAAAAATGGTTTTCTACTTGTGTGAACTGGCCTTTTACCTCGTCACCGTGCTTTTGCTTTATGCTACACAAACAGGCACCGACAGACAGACTGTTTCGATCTCGTTTGGCCTCATCAGTGCCGGATAAGCGCGGTGTGTAAAAACACTCGGCGGTCTCACTATGACAGCGGTGAAAGGTAATGAGCCCCATCTATCACCCATCTATCTTCCATCACCACGACTATACGGCACTGATGAGGTCCAATAAGACCGAAACTGTCAGTCTGTTTGTGTAGCATGCTTAAAGAAAAAGCACTGTGACGAGGTAATAGGCCAGTTTTCATGAGTTGTATAGTTAAGCGATTATACAAAGTTTCATTAAAATCCAAGATGTCAACTTTTTTAGGTGGAAACCCTAAGACCAACTTAAACTGGCTTACTTTTAATATAATCTCTAAAATATATTATATTTCTATCTTTATCTAACAATTTCAGGCTAAAATCCATCAGATTGCTTTAATTTCTGCTTAAAAATTGTATGAATTTTACCCTTGCAAAATAACAAATTATAACAAATTTAATGTTTTAGATTGAAAGGGAAAAGGCTGACCTCAGCGTCCAAGTCATCCAACTCTCTGAACGTCTGGAAGAAGCCGAAGGTGGTGCCGAAAGTCAGGTAAAACTTTTATTTTTATTTTAAAAAACCACCTACTTTAAAATCCCAAATGATCGTTTATTAATAATTAATACAAATCATGTGGTAATTTTAGTTCGAAATCAACAAAAAGCGTGACACCGAATTGTTAAAACTTCGTAAAATCTTGGAAGATGTTCACATCGAATCCGAAGAAACTTCTGCTATCCTCAAGAGGAAGCACCAAGAAATCGTCGTCGATTTCCAAGAACAAATCGATGTCATCACCAAGGCTAAATCCAGGTAAAACTATTTTCTTACCATCCAATCGAATCAATAAGTTGTCACAATAAAGATTTTGCATCGAAATAAAGGGGAAGATCAAAGCTATGCCTACTCAAGAATAGATTTCTAACATTACCGATGTCATTGACATTTTCAAACACTTGAGCACCATTAAGCATGTTTATATCACCTAAATAACCTAGAATATCATTACTTCAATTAATTCAGAACATATTATTTAGACCAATCAACTGCTTATTTTGAAATCCAAACGTAAACATTTACGAGATCGCAGAACTCTTTTACATATAAACTACAGAGTAATTTTAGTTTGCAAGGTACGGTTGTTGATCTGCAAGTAGGTTTATGACAGCTATCATTTGACTCTAAATCTAAACTCTCCATTTATCTGCAATAAAAGATTCGCATTAAACTATGTTTCCGTCAATCCTTGAATCTTCAAGTAGATTATAATTTTAAATATGTTTATGTTTTGATGCTATTTTGTATAAATAAACTCATTTTAATCCAAATATACTTAACTTGATTCTTAAAAGGATCTGTGAAAGGAATGAACCAAGTATGAGCTATCAACCAAGATCAATAAACTTGTAGAAATGTTTCAGATAGTTGAGAGTTTTGTAAAAATTCAAGATTAGATAAAAACAGAATTTTGTTATTCGGGAGTGGCCGGAGATATTCGTTTGATTATAAATAACCCACCAAATACGCTTGCCATATTTGTCGCGTTAAATTTCTCATTCCAATGAGCATATCTTTTCACATATTTTATCAAAACCGTTTACATACCTACCTAAATATTTTATGACCAATTTTTATATATTAGTTTAACGTAATATATTCTATAATAGTATAACAATACTTTTTAAATAAGAGATCTCAAACCTATAGTAACGATATTTTTATAAACTAGGAGATAAGTAAATTAAATTGCATACATATTTTATATAAAGTGATGAATTAAAGGAAAATAAGCATATCAATTACATATTAAATTTTAGGACCCGAATATACAAACTCAAAACGGTTCTGAGAAAAAAAACAAATATCTTAAAGTTAATTATCAAACCTATTTTAAGAATGCTTCCAATTTCCTATTATTTAAAAAAAAAACATAGAGTTTTGTTTAGATCGGATATCATAAATATAATAAATTATGCTGTTAAAAGTAATTTCATAAACAGACTTAAGTATGTAGTCTAAGAATAAAGAGGAATATATTTCTGGAACTAAAAATAAATTCGAAATATTTGTGACGATTTGAAACACCTTCGCGTACATTTGTACAACGTTATTCAACTATAAAAATATAACGCAAAGTAGGTCGAGACAATTTATTTTAACGAGTGTGTGGAATACATTTCTTTTAAATTTGACATCGATGAATTATATCCTATATTTACAAATGCTTCATAAATTAATGTGTTAACACTAAAATGTTATATTGAAATGAGAAATTAATTGCAGGGCTGAAAAAGAAAAATCCAAATTCCAAGCTGAAGTTTACGAACTCCTTTCCCAAGTCGAAAGCCTTAACAAGGACCGTTTGATCTCCGTCAAGCACTGCGAAAAATTGGAAATCTGCATCAGCGAACTCAACGTGAAAATTGAAGAGTTGAACCGCACAGTCGTCGACATCACCTCCCACAAGGCCCGTCTCTCCCAAGAAAACATCGAATTGGTCAAGGAAGTACAAGACATCAAGATCTCCCTTGAGAACGCCAACTACTTGAAGAGCCAATTGTGCTCCCAATTGGAAGACGCTCGTCGTCGCGCCGAAGATGACGAAAGGAGGCGCTCCATCTTGGAGGCCAACCTTCACCAAGTCGAGATCGAACTCGAATCCGTCCGTGTGCAATTGGAGGAAGAGAGCGAAGCCCGTTTGGACCTCGAACGTCAACTCGTCAAGTCCCAAGGCGAAGTAGGCATCTGGAGATCCAAATTCGAATCCGAAGCTCAAGCTAGAGCCGAAGAAGTCGAGGAACTCCGTCGCAAATACAATGCCAGAATCACCGAACAAGAAGAGCACATCGAGGCTCTCTTGGTTAAGGTCAACAACCTCGAAAAGCAAAAATCTCGTCTCCAATCTGAAGTTGAGGTTCTCATCATCGACTTGGAAAAGGCCAACAACACCGCCAGAGAATTGCAGAAACGTGTAGAACAACTCGAAAGAATTAACATCGACCTCAAGACCCGTCTCGATGAAACCGTTGCCATGTACGAACAATGCCAACGCGATCTTCGCACCAAGGTCCAAGAACTTCAACGTACCGTTCACGAATTGGACAAGACCCGCGAACAGAAAGATCAACTTGCCCGTGAAAACAAAAAATTGGCCGGTACGTATATCATCTTTACCTTATTTGTTAAAAAACAAGTATTAGTAAAAAAAATTCACATTATAACATTAAATTTTGGATAAAAATGTACCTCAGTAGAGTATACTATTCCCAATTTCTAATTTTACATAAAACAATACTTTAAGTAATTTTTAAAACAATGTGTAATTTGTAATTTATATTATAAATTATATCTGAAATAGAATAAAAACGATAAACTTTTTAAAATAATAATAATAATAAGAGGAAATAAAGCAAAAAAATTAATTTATTTATAATTTTTAGATGATCTTGGTGATGCCAAGTCTACCATTAGTGAACTTACCCGTCGTCTTCACGAAATGGAATTGGAACTCCGTCGTTTGGAAAATGAACGCGAAGAACTTACTGCTGCTTACAAAGAAGCCGAAGCTGTGAGTATCCAAATACTAATAGTACTTTTAAAGGGTATCAAAATGTTGAAATTACCAAAATAGATACCACTACATTAAAAATTAATTAAAGCATGCTAAGACCATTTAACAACTCAAAGAAGTAATCTAACGTAAAATTATTTTAATTTGCGTTTGGTCTAAAAGTTCTTCCGTGGTAATAACATGATACCCCAAAAATGTATAACAATAAACATATCAATATTTGTTCAGTTTTATATTACTTGGTTTGAACTTGTTCTTGAATATTTAAAACATTAATTAGAACGAACTATAGTTATATATTTAATAGCCTTTAATTTATGCCTGAAAACTTGAATTTAAATATTTCTTTAGGGCCGCAAAGCTGAAGAACAACGTGGCCAACGTCTTGCTGCTGAACTCAACCAATTCCGCCATGAAGCCGAGAAACGCCTCCACGAGAAGGATGAAGAAATTGAAGCTATCCGGTGAGTACCTTTTAAATTCCTGTTGGTAATTAAATTTTTTAGCTCAAAATTATTTTAAATGAATTAAATTTTACTATTAAAAGTCGTTTTTAAGATTTAAATTTTGAATAAAGAATATACTTTTATTTTAAAAAATCAAATTAATAAGTTAACACAAAAAGTGTGTGATAAAATGAGCCTAACTTTTGAAAAGTCATTTAAGTACTGAAAATTAACCCCTCATAATGGGGACCATCACGTTTAAACTCTTTGGGGTAAAGGATATATTCTATGGATTTTTTTATTTTAAAACAATAAAACAAAGAAAAATAAAGTAGAACAAACAAATCCGTATTTTATAAATTAAATAAAAAAATTATGGCATATACGAGTATACATAAATATAATATAATAATATAAACTTAAATAACCTCATTAAAAATTGAAAAAATAACACCAACAAAAAATAAATTATTTAATCCAATATTTAACGATCAGGAAAACTTAATATCAATCTATCGAGTACGGTTGATCCCGTTGATCTCCATAATGTCTGGGTCTTCTTTTCATTGCATCCCATACTTTTTCAATAGGGTTAAGGTCTGGCGAGTTTGATGGCCAAGCTAGAAGACCAATAAATGCAGCTCGAACGATTCGTGCTGTATGTGTCCTAGCGTTATCCTGTTGGAAGATGGCATTATTATATCGTTTAAATAATACTAAATATTTATTAAACGTACGTGACCCCCCCAAATTAAAACTATGGATCCGCCCCGGATCCCAATTGCCCGAAGTTTTTTATTTTAATTTAAAAGACGTTTCCATAATACCTATTATACCTATACTTAATATTATTATTAAACAGTTTAAATAGAATTTTAGTTAATTAGGTATATATTGGTTATAACCATAAACACTATTCAACTTATGCCCGCAAATACCATAAATAAAAAAAAGAGTAATAAAATTATTTTGCAATTTACAATAAAATTATTTGGAAGTTTACAATAATTGTAATTTGCAACATATTTATATTTCTTTAAGAGAACAATAAATTAATTTTTTAACAAATTTAATTCGATTGCTTGGGAGACATTTTGACTGTGTACGAGGTGTGTTATCGGGAATTTTCGTTTTTTGAAACAAATATTTATTTGTTCGTCTACATTAATGTTGTCGCTTTCAAAATAGTCCCCATTGGATATTATGCACATGTGCCAGCTCTTCTTCCAATACTCAAAACACTTCCCAAATTCGATCTTTGAGATAGCCTTTAGTTCTTTCAGCGATGCGCTTTTAATGTCATCTATGCTTGCAAAACGACGGCCCTTTAAGGTTCTCTTTATTTTTGGGAATAGGAAAAAGTCAGACAGAGGCATGTCTGGCGAATATGGAGGCTGGTGCATCATTACAGTATTGTTTTTGGCCAAAAAATTTAACAATTTTGGAATAAATTTTGCTGCCACGCGTTTCATACCCAAAACATTTGAAAAAATTTCAGGGGATGAGCCAATCGATATACCAACATCATCAGCGACTTCTCTGATGGTTTATAACCATTTCTTCCACTTTTTCCTTGTTGTTATCGGTTGTTAATGTGCTTGTGCGTTCGGGGCGTTCGTCATCTTCAACGTCTTCACGGCCATCTTGGAAACTCTTATACCACTTGTAAACTCTTGTTTTACTTATAGCAGACTCACCATAGGCCTTTGTTAACATTTCACAGAATTCATTACAAATTCTCTTTGATCCATTTCTTTTAACGAACGAATATCGCTGAGCTCATAAAACACGTCTAACCTTAGCGGCTGCCACAGACAAAGTAAACAATGAAAACAGTTAAAGTTTTTATCATACTTCGGGGGCATGTATACCAACATAATAAATAAAATTTTATGACAACCGGACCCTCCGAAGCCGCGAAATTTAACAATCCCCGTTATTTTCTGAACACACCCCGTATATTTGTGATGGTTTAAATTCAAATATTTAATTTAATTTTAAAACACAATTTTTGACTCAGGAATTATAAAAAAAGTTTTGATTAACCATTAAAAATTATGGTTTACGACAGTATTTTTTTAATAAAATGACCTTTTAAACAAGTATATAAGTATACAATATCTAGGTTTTCAAGAAATTGAATTTTGAAGTTATATAGTTTTCTTACGTAGTTTAAAAAAGTAGTAGGCAATTTTAGTATTACAATTTAATGTTTTGCAGCTCAAACCCTAATAAGTTATACATATTTGAAAATACGACATTTCTTATAAAATAAATAACTTTTTAAAATGTTTCACTTTAATATTTAATACTTTACGGCCTTTTGGTTTAATTTTTTATTAAATTTTATCAATTTTGAAAAAATATATAGATTATGGGTTCTAGTCTAAAAAACATAATCTATAACTTCTAGGCACAGGTGGCTGGAAATAAAAAAGTTTGACTACGATGCCACAAAACTTTTGCATATATTGCATTATATAGAATTTAACACATTTTCGGTCATACGAAAAAAAAGTTCTATTTAACCCCCAAATTACTCCTAAAAAGATTCTACTTCAAATGAACAGCTACGATTTAGGGACGAAGTTTTCTCGTCTCAATAAGTTTTTGGGGCATCGTAGAAAAACTTTTTTATTTTCAGCTATGTAGAGTAGTAAAAAATAACAGTTATACAGGATTTCCGAAAAATGACGCACCAATTTTAGGTATACTGTATTCCACGTTGTGGGTTATTCAGCATTCAAAAATGGTTATATGACAAATATTATCATCATAACTTTGTTATTATTAATGAATTTCAACAATTTATTTTTAAAACGTTTTTAGAAAATTGTGTTTACTTAATCCTTTTATACTATACAGTATACAGTTGGTGCGCCATTTTCCGGACACATGTATAAGTCCATTTGAGCAAAGTATCAAAATTCTGAACGTTTGTTAACACTAAAAGTATTAGACTGAAAAATTTTGAAAACTCATTTATTTTATAGGAACATTTTTATCTCTCCAAATATGTAGAACTTATTAGGGGAAATTAATTAGGTACGTGAGGCATTTTTCTGATAATTTGGACCCCCCTTGGTGAGATTTGGTGAGATGTGGTAGACCCCCCTCTATCCCTCATGTGATATTTTAGCCATTACTTTCTTTGCGGACAACATGTAAAATATGATTAATTTTTTCAAAAATTGATGTGAGATTTTAAATGAACCCCCCCCCCAATCCCTTAAATTGAGATTTGGTTAGATTTTGCTGGACACCTCCCCTCCATTTTTTTCTCAAGTAATTAATTAATGTCCCCTTAGGGTTTACGCTGCAAACGGCCGAATACACAAAACAAATTTTCGAAAACACGACCTGCTTGGTTTTTGTCCTCTTTCACCCCATATATAAGATTTCTTTAGGCAAGGTTGTTATACAGTGCAACCTTTTGTAATAAATGTTGACTCATAAAAGTATTAAAAAGTTACATAAAATTAAAGTATAGTCAATTAGTAAATAAACTTTCATTGCACAACAACTTCTAAATATAATTTAGCCCTGGATTTGTCGATTTTTATTGGTTTGGCAATCGGCAATCAATCTAAAAAGATATAAAAGGACCCGTCGATCAACCTACACATTAGTGTGCGGAAAAAATAATATAGTTATAGCAATGTCACGTCCAAGTACATCAAGATGGCAGCCCCAAACTGCAATGTACAAATACAATTACGGCACGGGCGTGAATTTCTACCAGCCGATGGTGGATTTTATTGAGGACAAATCTCGCGGCAGAAGGGTCAATTATCCCCACCTTCCTTGGAGCGACGAGTTCGATCCCATGAAAAACATAATCGGTTACTCGGACGATGAGCTAAGCAGAATATCGCGCAAAACGGAAGCCAGTGCCAAAACAAAGTTAAGAGACTTTAAAGCTCACACTAGTTCTGAATTTATTTTGAGCCAATCGGTCAGCGCGGCCAACATAACCGAGAAAGTCAGGAAGACGCAGTCGCGACAGAAAAAGCAAGTCCTGAGAGACATAAAAAAACTGAAGACCACACTCGTCGACAGTTCGCGGAAAAATAGAAACAAAGAGAACCGCGAAATCGAGGAAGAATTCCAAGCCAAGACGAAAATGTACCGCGGAAAATCCGCCAAAAGTATCGGTGCGCAATTGTTCACCGAAAGTATGAAAAACATCACCGAAAGCATCGATCAAGACATTAAAAAAGAACAAAACACGACGATGGTGCTTAGAGCCCGCAGCTACAAGGCAAACATCAATTTAATGGACGAAAATATGGAAAGAGACCTGACAAACAGTTTTGTTGTTCCTCTGGATAAACTGAGCAACGACCTCAAATCGTTTAATAAGAGAACGACCACCTATTTCAGCGATAAAAGGTGAACTTGTATTGATGTTTGTTGTTGTGGTTCTTTTTTAAAGTGAGTACCTAGAATGAAATGTTGGTGTTTTGCATAACAGACCTTTAAAGTCTATAAATATGTGCACTTGGTTATCTCCTTGTTATAAACATCTGCCAATTAATTCCTGAGTCAAAATTACATACAACACGGCGCGTGAAAATCATTAGTCAAATTGTAGCAGTAACAACTGTTTAGTATTATATAAAAATATTAATAAAATTCGTAAAATCACAAAATAACTACTAATAATGCTTTTATTATATTGGCATTTACCTAAAAAAGTTATATATAATTAAAAATATAATTGGTAATAATTTTGATTTGTCAAAAAATATAAATATTTTACATAAAATTTAGAGATAACAACTACTGATTCTTTTTTAAATTTTGATAATATCTTTTCACACTAAGTTTTTTTACTTTTTCTTTATAAATTGCAATTGCAATAACACGTTAACTGTTTTCATAGATTGTTTACAAAAATAAAAATAAGTCATTGGTTCATTTGGTACCCCTTATAAAAAAGCTGGTAGCTACTGTAGCTAATATTAAGCCCCATTTAAAAATGATAGATACTTAATAAAAAATTTTGAAGCGCTGTGTATGTAAGTTAATAATTTCGGTATAATTGTGACCAACAAATTTCTACCCAGGACAAGAGCCTTTGTATCTGGTTCTACCATTCTTAAATGAAAAAAAAAACATGAGAGAACGTCTTTCAAGACTATTTTTTTCATTTCATCTAAAATTGCATTAAGAATAAAATATAAAATTATATAAAATTCATTTAAAAATATTTTGAGCAAACAAAAAATATATTTTTCTTACTACCTCGACTCAAAATACGTTGTTTCGTCCCCGATTCCACGGCAGAATGTTTACGTTTTATGCATTGGTCAAGCTATACGCGCACACTCTACAAGCGGGGATTTTTTAGTCGTGTGCTTAACATTCAAATTTCGTACTGCCAACCAGGGACCCGGACCGAAATGAAATATCGGTTCCGGTACGGTTTTGGTTCACCCTATTTTCGTTTTAATGGTTCCGATTCCGGTTTCGGTTTCGTGGAGTTATAACGGTTCGGTTCTTTTCGGTTTTAAGCGGTTCCAGTGAGGTTATTTGTTTTACGTAATTTTAATCTATAACCTCACATATATATATATATATATATATTAGGGTGGTCCTTAGCAATAGAGGTGAAAGATATACTTTTAATATCGAATTGTCCCACCCCTCCGTTTTGTAATAGCACAAGAGAAAAAAAATTACACAAAAATTTGAATCGCTAACTCAACCCCTTCACGTGCCTGTAAGGGGTTGAATTTCGACAAAATCCCCAATTTTTAAGGTTTTTGTCATTTACTCCTCAAAAGCCGCATATTTAAAAAATTGTACTTATTACAATCTTTTCGTCTATAAAAATTAAGGGACTTACCTTACCTTAGAATGCTCAATTTCCTGGAAAATTGCATTTGTGCATAATTACCACAAATTTAACGTTTCAGTAACTTGTTTTAAAAAAATATCTAAGTAATAATTTAATTTAGCACTAAATCCATTTTAGACCAATTTAAGGACAAAGGTTTAGAATTTTACGAAAAATTGTTTATTACTGGAAAACAGTGGCGGCTAGTGGATTTTGGGCATACCGATACCTCAATTATTAGATAAATTTAATTGGTGCAATTTATTATTTACCATAGTTTATCAAAAAAATTTAAATTTTATTAAAAAAATACAAATCATACAGATTTTATATCATTTTAAATTTTTATTATTTCTTTGAAAAAAAAATATTAAAAATTTAAAATGGTATTAATCTTATCTCAAAAACTACTGGAATTAAAAAAAAATTTGGGAAACAAAAATTCATCAAATTATATAATTTTTTTAAATATTATATTTTTACTTAAACAGGGTATTCTTTTTATTTTTTGAATTCTACTTACTTTTTTAAGTAAATATTGTTAATTTATATAATATATAAGAAAAAATATAATACCTTCTGAGTAAACTTAAAGTGTTAATTTTTTTTAATTAAAAATAACCAACTAAATATTGTTATTTTTAATCTTAACTATAAAGTATTAATCTCTTTATAATAAACTAATCTTCAAGTTTGTATGTTTAAGTTTATTTTACAAAATATTATACAGGGTAAGTTTTTTTAACACAACACCCTTTATATTTTTACATAAATTACAAAATGCATGTCCTAAATGACATAAGATGCTATAATATAGCATGTTATACGATTTTAAACTGTTATTACTCGAAAAATAATTTTGACCAAGTTTTTAGTACTAATCCGACGTCAGAAATACTACTGCGGGAATCCACTGCGTGGTTAGGTCACAGAGTAGTAGGATAAAGTACCCCACCTACTTTATTTGTATTCCTAAGCGCCACAGACCATTTCAAATCTTTAAATTGACCCAAGATGGATTATTGTGCTAAATCAAATGACTAATAAGATATTTTTAAAAAACAAGCGAAAGTTACTTAAATGTAAAATTTGAGATAATTGTGCATTTATGCAGTTTTCCCCGGAACGACCTTTAATAGACGAACAAATTTTACTTTGTAAAATTTTTTGTAATTCGCGATTTTTGAGAAGTTAATGCCAAAAACCCTAAAAATAAAGGATTTTGTCGAAATTCAATCCTTTACAGGCACAGGAAGGGGTTGATTTTACCTTCCAAAATTTTGTGTGATTTTTTTTCTCTTCTACTATTACAAAATTTGGGGGTGGGACGATCGAATTTCAAAGGTTCATAAATAAGGACCACCCTAATATATATATATATATATATATATATGTTATATAAAGGTTTCGGTTCCGGTCCAACAGATTTTATCAAAAGCGAAAACGGTTCAGGTTCGGGTTTTGGTTCGGAAAAAAAAAACCGGTTCCGTTCCGGTTTTCGGTTTTTTTCGGTTTCGGTCCGGGTCCCTGCTACCAACATGAGAAACACAAAAATATGACAGTTTTAAACCATAATTTTGCAATTATAACAACAAATAAACAATTTATGTTTTTACTTTTTTACTTTTTATGTTGTTTTAAGTGTTTAATGGTACTTTTATTTGTTATAAAGTAGTAATTTGTTAATTAAAATACAACCTTTTATTTTTACTGTATTGGCACCGCTGAATTCACGGCCTACTGTTATTTATTTATAAAGCTCTTCAAATGGAGATAGGTACATAAATACACATTTAATTTTTTCCCGTATTTTCGGCCGAGGTAGTAAGAAAAATAGTATACACTATACGGGCAGAAAGAGTGAGAGGATAACTTTGGGACCTGTGTGTTTTTATATGTAGTGGCAAGGGTAAATAAATTTAATTTTCAAAAACTAAATTATAAATTTAGCATTACTTTCAAATTTCTCTATTAAAAAACCTACTTAATGGGTTACAACATATAAAAAAATACCTAAAAATACACAGGTCCCAAAGTTACCCTTAAAACAATTTGGGAAATTTGCATGTACCTATTTCTTCTGAATTAGAATATGCCACCAAAAATTTACCAACAAATAACTAAAATTTATCAATTGTTCTTAATATTGCAATAACTTTTAATGGCATCAAAATGCCTTGATTTATAATGTTTATCAATTTGTACGGTTCTAATGTAATAATTATTTTTCATTAACAGCAAGGCTACCAGCATTGAAATCGAACAGCTCAATGCCCGCGTCGTCGAAGCCGAGACCCGTCTCAAGACCGAAGTCATCAGGATCAAAAAGAAGCTCCAAATCCAAATCACCGAGCTCGAGATGTCGTTGGACACCGCCAACAAGGTCAACTTGGACCTCCAGAAGACCATCAAGAAACAATCGCTCACCCTCACCGAACTCCAAGCTCACTACGACGAAGTTCAACGCCAATTGCAAGTCACCTTGGACCAACTTACCGTGTCTCAAAGAAGAGTCCAGGCACTTACTGCTGAAGTCGAGGAAATCAGAGGCAATTACGAATCTGTAAGTACATTAAAGCATCACAAATCGTCTAGCAATAAAATTATTAAACGACTATAACAAGTGGAATTAAATTGCATTTTGTAAACGATTAGGATTTTAATGATTCGTTTTCAGTCCAAGTAATTATAGTCATTCTAATTTTCTTGGCACAACTTCAAGTAACTTATTTATTAATACACGAACCTATAAATACTTATGATTAAACTAAAAGGAAAAATGAAAACAAGCACAAATTTGAAAATGTTGTAATGTAATATATTTTTTATATTTTCAGGCCCTCCGCAGCAAGAGGCAAGTCGAACAAATGTACGAAGAAGCTGGATCCCGCATCAACGAACTTACCACCATTAACGTCAACTTGGCTTCCTCCAAGAGCAAAATTGAACAGGAATTGTCTGGCGTGGTTGCTGATTACGATGAAGTCACTAAGGAGCTCCGCATTTCTGATGAACGTTATCAACGTGTCCAGGTAAGATACAATATTATTATAACAATTCAAAAGTTATTTTCATTAAAACCCGCTTTTTTTCGATCCAATAATATTGATTAAAACTATATAGGGTTTAACTTTTTCTTCTTAAATTATCGCCAAAAAATCATTTGAATTATTTGTTTCTCCTTCAAGTATAATAGTGGAAATAACTGTCATAACATCCACAGAACTAAGGAACATTTTAGAGATTGTTAATTTCATACGATTTTCAAGTTTATAGTAAATTTTGATTGTTATCTTCTTCTCAGAAATGCTATTATATTTAAAAAAAGTATCTGCTGTCGTACAATACATATTAGAAATATCAGAATTTGCTGGAATTCAAACTTTTATTGAAATGCGATTTTCCATTTTATGAAATCTGGCTATAAGAACAATTCTAGTATTTTTAGAATCCAGATTAATATTTTTTTTTATTTTTTATAACGCACTATTAGCAGTTACAACAAATAATATAATATAAAAGTACAAATATATACAAGGTGTCCCTAAACTTATTGGCATACATTTAGGAAAAGATTGAGCAACACATATTCACACATAATTATAATTGTTTGAGTGAACACAGTGTCGTAGAAACAGGGGTTGCTTTAAGCTTATTGTCCCATACAAACTTTGAGGTTAGGTTTTTATAACATTTGATGCAATTTTTAGATTACACAGTTCGGCTACCATTAAAAAGGTGTACCTCTCAAACTTCGATAAAATAAATAATAATAAAAGTATTAAAAGGTATATGATAACAAATTTTATTTTTTAATTGAAAAAACTAAAAAGAGCATTCCATGAGCATCAGGACTTTTTGCCCTGAACGACACATTAAAAAAATTGTAGTTTGTTCAATTAAAAAAATTGTTATCAAGTCCTTTATGCCATATAACAATTATTGTAATCTCGAATATCTCGGAAACGGTTTATTTTATCAAAGTTTGAGAGGTACACCTTTTTAATAGTAGCCGAACTGAGTAATCGAAAAATTGCATCAAATGGTATAAAAAGCTAACCTCAAAGTTTGTATGGGACAATAAGCTTAAGCAACCCCCGTTTCTACGACACTGTGTTCACTCGAACAATTGTAATTATGTGTGAATATGTGTTTTGGTAGTAAGTGACTGTTCGCAAAATATCACCTTTCCAAGTCTACCACAGTAGAAGTTATATTAAAAAATTAATATGATAAGTAACACTTTATCACCCTGTATCTTTTAAACATACGCAATTAGGAAAAATATTTATTTAGATTTTCGTCTTATTTTGACTTGCTTAATCTGCTCCTAAATTTATGCCAGTAAGTTCCCTATTAAAAATGCCCTATAGAACCCATATTGATCCAGATAAGGAAACTAATGTGGATTTATATGGTTCTATATGTCCTATATGGAACGACCTGGTTTACACTTTGGAATCTATATGGTTTAATATGGAATTTCATTTTATAATGTACAACTTAGAGATTTTTATATGGATTTATCTGGTTTCTGTTTTATGTGTCTTTCCATATAGGTTTCCCTATATGGTCGAATATGGAATTCCATTTTAAAATGTATATATATTTAAACGAAAATTGCATATTAAACCATATAGATTCCCCTATATGGTTAAATATGGATCTATATGGTAATAATTTTTTCATACCCAAACCATATTGGGCCAGCTCCAATATGGTTCAATCTGAACCTATATGGCAATCACTTTTCTATATGGTTTTCCATGTATGGAATTCTATCTGGTTCAATAGTGCAATGCCTGTTTCAAATTCCTATATTGAACCAGATAGAACCATATAGATTTTTATTTTGTGTTTCTATATGGCATTTTTAATAGGGATGTTAATAATTTTTTCATACCCAAACCATATTGGGCCAGATCGAGCTCCAATATGGTTAAATCTGAACCTATATGGCAATCCATATATAAATCACTTTTCTATATGGTTTTCCATACATGGAATTCTATCTGGTTCAATAGTGCAATGCCTGTTTCAAATTCCTATATTGAACCAGATAGAACCATATAGATTTTTATTTTGTGTATCTATATGGCATTTTTAATAGGGTTTAGGGACACCTTGTATAAATAAATAACAAAATATCACATCCAAATTGATAGTTGGTTTCTAAATGCAGGTACGTTTTTGACAAAATAATCGATATCACAAAATTTATTAACAGACTTGCAAACACGAATTAAGGGAAAGTTACCAGCATAAACTGTTTTAAAATCAGTTACAACCGATTAGAAGATAACAGTTCTTAAGCATGGCATTTTTTCAAATTAATTCAATTAATGAATTGGTAAAATCTTTTTTAGGCTGAGTTGAAACACACCGTCGAAATTCTCCACGAAGAATCAGAACGCGTCGTCAAGATCGAAACCATCAAGAAGAGTTTGGAAATCGAAGTCAAGAACTTGTCTGTCCGCTTGGAAGAAGTAGAAGCCAACGCCATCGTCGGAGGAAAACGCATCATCAGCAAATTGGAAGCCCGTCTTCGCGACATGGAAGCCGAAATGGACGAGGAAAAGAGACGTCATGCCGAAACCATCAAGATTTTGAGGAAGAAGGAACGCACCGTCAAGGAAGTCATGATCCAATGCGAAGAAGACCAGAAGAACATCACTCTATTACAAGAAGCTTTGGACAAATCTAACAACAAACTAATCATGTTCAAGAGACAACTCCATGAACAAGTAAGTATCGCCCAATTAAGATTAAAAACTATTTTTAAGTGGTCTTATTTACAATTGAATAACTCCTTAAAACTTTCCAACAGGAATCCCTATTGTAAATGACCGATAGAATCCAATAAAAAAATAAGTAATTGGTTTGACATGTGTTTTGGCGCTATGAATCACCAATTCATTCCAGTTGCATTCCTATTGGTGAGTTCCAATGAAGTCAGCGGCTTAAATTGGAATATACCAATCCATGCCTATTAGGGTGAGCCAAAAAAACTAACCTATCGGATTTATGGGTTAAAATGAACCGACATACCGAGAAAAAAATTTCCCTGCAAGGCCAAATTTTTTGCTCAATTTTAAAAGGTGTCGGTGAGCATTCTAAGTTTTCCATTAAAATAACACGTAAAAAAATCTTTTTATGTTAAAAAGACTATAACTTTTGAACCGTTTGAGATAAAAATTTTTACGTCGCGGATTCTTGTAGAGCATAAAATTTCCTAAAAAAATCTACCCCAGGATTATTTTTTTCAATTAAATAATTCGTATATTTGAAAGCTTTGAAAAGTGAAAAAAATCAAAATATTCAGTTTTAGTGATTTTTTACACTTTTCAAAGCTTTCAAACATACGAATTATTTAATTGAAAAAAATAATCCTGGGGTAGATTTTTTTAGGAAATTTTATGCTCTACAAGAATCCGCGACGTAAAAAATTTTATCTCAAACGGTTTAAAAGTTATAGTCTATTTAATGAAAAAAGATTTTTTTGCGTGTTATTTCAATGGAAAACTTAGAATGCTCACCGACACCTTTTAAAATTGAGCAAAAAATTTTGCCTTGCAGGGAAATTTTTTGCTCAGTATGTAGGTTCATTTTAACCCATAAATTCGATAGGTTAGTTTTTTTGGCTCACCCTAATGCCTATGCTTGTCTCTATTGGCTAAATCCAATAGAAAGCACCTGGAATGAATTGGTAATTCATAGCGCCAAACTCACTCAAAGCAATTTAAACCAATTTATTTTTTTAAATTTGGATTAAAAATAGCAGTTGATTTTTCATTCAAAAATAATTAATATCCAAGAAGAATAACAGGGTAAAAACCAGAATTCATTTTTCACAGAAGAGACAAAAAAATATTATAACTTTATTTCTTTATTATTTTTTTGTGTTAGTGAGATATGTATTGATACATATAACTAACTAACACAAAAAAGTAATAAAAAATAAATAAAATTACTCGGTTATAATCATTTTTTTGTCTTTCTTGCAAATGATGTTTGTAGGCATGGTCGAAATCAATATTATGTATGTCTAATTTTTTTTATTTTGTCCGCTGTAACCACCATTCTCACGTCATCGTCCCTAAACCTTGCATATATTAACATTTTTTTAAGGTATAAGTACACACCACTATAAGTACACAACTACCACTAAGCACAGAAACCCATAGATTATAAAAGAAACCGACTAATAAAAAAACGACATTAAATAGCGTCCAAAGACTTGTTTGTTTCTTTATGATGGCGTCTCAACCATTCGAACATGGACGTTGGTTTTGCGCAGCTACACGAGAGCCCTCTTGCGATATATTAAAGTATTGGGAATAATCAATTAGCAGATTCCTTTTTAGAATATCACACTGGGAATGCCAAATTGAATTCAATTGGAAATTACCTATGGGTAGCTTTAACCAATCGAAAACACTAAAAAACAGTAGAATCCTAATTGGACTTTTCCATATTTTAAAGTATTGGGAATAACCAATTAGCAGATTTCTTTCTAGAATCTTACACTGGGAATGCCCAATTGAATTCAATTGGAAATTACCTATTGGTAGCTTTAAGCAATCGAAACCACTAAAAAATAGTAGAATCCTAATAGGACTTTTTCATAATGGAAAATACCAGTAAAAACCAATTTCTGTTTTATATCGCTCCCAATTAAACCCAGTAAGTCCAATTCAGACCTATTGATACCAACCAATACTTCAATTATAAGGAATTAATCGGTCATTTACGACAGGGATTGTAATATTATTCTCAAACTAAAATATTTTTTGTAATTTTTAGGAGGGTATGTCCCAACAGAGTGTAACCCGCGTGCGCCGCTTCCAAAGGGAATTGGAAGCTGCAGAGGACCGTGCCGATTGCGCCGAAAGCAACCTTACTTTAATCCGCGCCAAGCACCGCACTTTCGTCACCACCAACTCGGTTCCCGGGTCCCAAGTCTACTTGGTCCAGGAAAGCCGAACCTCCGAAATGTAACTGCCTTAATAGCAACTGATTAGCTGACGAGTACGTCCTTTAACATCAACGACGCACTGGCCAGATATATTATTACCATTATAAAGTTCATTTTTTATTTTATTTTTTTCTCTTCGTTCGTGCATATAATAATAAAAATATACGTAAATGTATAACAACCACTCTCTTTGAAATATTACCATTATCTATTTAAGCATTAAACGAAACATACACATTTCGTACAAAACTAAATGAAAAAAATGTAAGCGATTTATATTTGTTTCTCGTATCGCACAAGTAGATTATGAAAACGGGGCTGTAATGAAATCTGTAGGTTTCAAGAATGTTACAAAGTAGAAAATATTTATTAACTGTAAAGGATACAGGTGTTTTGACATATAATATGTAAGTTTGAATGTACTGTGTAAGAATAAATTGCTTGTATACATTTGCCGTTTAACAATTATTAATTATCCCTTACTGGATTAAGTATTTTAAATTAATAAAATAATTTTAGAAAATTCGATATCCTTTATTAATTTTGTTTAATCCCGAAATAAAACAAATTAAGTTCCTTAAAACTTTTACTATAGTATAATTATTCTGTTTATCGCACTTAGTTGTTGTGTTTTGCTCTAAAACGGGCGCGTTTTAGAGCAAAACACAACAACTAAGTGCGATAAACAGATAGCTATTATCTCTTCCTTTCCATATTGTTGTTTGATCGAAACCAGGGTTCCCAAAAAGAGAATAAAACGAAATTTCCTGACTTTTCGAGGTTTTTCAGACAAATTTTTATTAATTTCCAGCAACAATTATAGGTAGTTATAATAAATAAACGTAAATTTAAAGTAGACAAACAGTTTATTAAACAATTGCTCGCAAAATATATAAATTTCAACAAAACAAACAGTTATAAAAGCAAACGAAGCTAACTTAGCTTCTATATATATTTCCGAAATAATTTATTTTAGTTTCAATCTATGCTTTCAACAAAACAAACAGTTATAAAAGCAAACGAAGCTAACTTAGCTTCTATATATATTTCCGAAATAATTTATTTTAGTTTCAATCACAGGTCTGTGGTTTCAATATATGCTTTTTCTTGGTGTGCCTTTTCTTCTAGATGTCTTTTTTAACCTTAAGCTCACGTTGATCCTTTTGTTTTTTTAATTTCCAACTCATATCTTGCACATTATTGTTTGCAGCTTTTTCTCAATTTATCAGTGATTGCAATTAATTGCATTGCCATGACTTAATATTAATATTTTTCTAATCCAAAGGTGTTTGAAATCAATTCTGTTGGCTTCCAATAATGAATGGTAAAACGAATCCAGCCTAAGTGTTCAAAATCTGCACCTGCTCATCACATTCTGCCTTTACCAGATTTAAGTCATAAATTAATAATAGCAAATTTTAAGAAATTTAAGAAATAATTGGCACTTATCATTTTCATTAAGGTCTTAAAACAATAGTTATTAATTATAATTAAAGTCAGGATTGTTATTATTTAAATGCAATGATGTTAATCATTTATTTAAGGCGGGAGTCTGCTTTAGAAGGCTAAAAAAACGATTTTTTTTATTGCCAAAATCTATTCCTAATATATCTAAAAATATGTATGTAAAGTTATAAAGGCTAATTCGGAATTTTTTAAAACTACAGCACTAAACGTGGCCGGGTGTCGAGCAGGCATACAAGCGCTCGTCCCCTCGGTCGAATAGCTGTGTACTATGTATTTCAAAAGCTTCAAAGGTTCAACGGTCGTTCGAAATAATATTTTGAATTCGTAGTAGTACCGTTGTAATACATAATATACATGTAATACATAATATACAGAACCTTCATTTGCAAACTATATGTACATAGGAAATAGTTATTTGTTTTACAAGTGTTGAAAAGCGAATTTTTAATGCTAGTGTTTAAGTTGCTCACGAGGCCGTCAGGCCGAGTGTGCATTAAAACGAGCTTTTGACGCGATGCTTAGGCGGACACACGCAAAATTCAAACTCCACTGTGTGGCGCATGAGCCCAAAACATCTGAATTCTGGCAAAAAAATCGTTGAAATTACTGCGTACATGGCTGCAGGAATGTTCAACGAAGGATATTCCGCAGTTTTAAATACCATGCAGCTACTCGATTTAAAAATTGGCCAGTTATGTAAGATGTTTGCGGATTACGTCGACGCACAACGGATCAAGAGGGAAAACCGGCGTACGTCTTATTCCAGCAAGGAAGCTCGCACGGCCCGTAGACTCGACCAACTGCATCAAAATGAGTTTTTTGAGGAAGTTGAATAGAATAGAAAATTAAATTAATTTTTACGATAGCAAACTTTCAAGCGCGTTTTCTCGAGTTTTCGTTTTTACGATTTTTCTAAACTGGCGGGTGTAATTGCAAGAAAACTAGACGACCAATTAAAACAACCAATGCTTTGGTTTTGTATTGTCTTCTAACTGAACTAAAAAGATTCACGAAAAAAAAATTCTGAACAAGTTTTTCAGCAAGTTGAAATGATTTTTTCGTTGTTTCAAAGGACATTTTTTTTTTTAAACCTGTAAAATTTTTTTAATTTTACAAATTTTCGAGTTTTTCTTAGTCTATCTAGAAGATTAATATATAAAAATTGGAAAACTTTTTGTTTCAGTCGAAAATTAGGAGATCCATCTTGTCCGCCGATTGGTTACTGCAATTGCGAGGTGTTGCACAAATGTGTACGAAAATCAACTGCGTTTGAATATTTTTCTCTTAATTTTTTTTTTTAATGTTTAAAGATGCCATAAAATAATCTGAAAACTTCGCTAGACTTGCTTTTTTTTTCTTAAAAAACTCCTTTATTAGGCCTTATAAAGCAGACTCCCGCCTTAAATCACAATTCAATCAAATTGTGATGATTCTGTTGTAGAATAAGACGTAGTAAGTACATCTTCATGATAATGTTTTTCACAATATTTATATTTGCTTAGAGTTGCTTTGAAAATATTTAATAAAAAAATAATTACACTTGATTCACTTTAAGAGATCTGTTTATGTATTTAACTGGAGCAATGAGTAATGATGTTGTTGTTGAATGTAAATGCAACATAGGATATGTTCCTTTTTTCAGGTACTTATTTGAAATTTTATCTTCAGGTCTAAAGTGTAAATCTTACGTGTCTTAAATACTTTTGCTGGTTCCAATAAAAGTATTTTTTATCACCACAAGTTTTTTTAGCCAGTTTTAAAATGATTCAATTATAGTATTACATCTTCATGATAATGTTTTTCACAATATTTATATTTGCTTAGAGTTGCTTTGAAAATATTTAATAAAAAAATAATTACACTTGATTCACTTTAAGAGATCTGTTTATGTATTTAACTGGAGCAATGAGTAATGATGTTGTTGTTGAATGTAAATGCAACTTAGGATATGTTCCTTTTTTCAGGTACTTATTTGAAATTTTATCTTCAGGTCTAAAGTGTAAATCTTACGTGTCTTAAATACTTTTGCTGGTTCCAATAAAAGTATTTTTTATCACCACAAGTTTTTTTTGTCAGTTTTAAAATGATTCAATTATAGTATTAAGACAATAACACTTACCTAGTTAGGATAATATAACTGTTTGTAAAATCAACGGTAGAATAATATAATAACGCACAAAAATACAACAGAACAATAATATAATATAACTAAATGTATAATCAACGGTAGAATAATATAATAAAGAACATAAGCACAACAGAACAGAATATAAAAGTTAGAGAATGATAGAAATGATACTTTTTTCTATTGAAAATAATTACAATATTTAAATATTTTTTGCAATACTGTCAGAGATATCAGTTTTACCGATTTTATTTACTGTCTACGGTTACCTTTACTCTTTTAAGACATGTTTTCACACATGTACAGGGTGGTCCACGTAAGGTGACCCATATACTTATCTCAGAAACTACTGGAGTCACAAAAAAATTGTAAGAAACAAATATTCACGAAGTAAAAAATATTTTTAAAATATTATATTTTCATTTATACAGGGTGTTCGGTTTGCCTTGGGACGATACCAACTTTCTTATTTTCAATGGAACACCCTGTATTTTTTTGCATTTTTGGATTCTACCCACTCTTTTAGGTATACTTTGTAAATATATTAATTAAGAAAATGTTAATACTTTTTGAGTAAAATTAAGATTTATTAAAATTTCTCTAAATGTAGACACTCGCTAAAAGTTAAAAATAATCAACTAAAAGTTATTATTTTTTATATTATGTAGTATCCATCTCTTTAATAATAAGTAAGCTATAAGTTAATTATTATATTTTTTGGAAAATATCATACAGGGTGTTTTCTATGTCCCGTTGAAAATAGCGATTTTAAAAGTTTAAAATCTTGTTTTTCTTCAATGGAACACCCTATATATTTTTGTATAATTGGATAGAATAAGTAATTACCTTTCATTTTATATATATATGTCCTATACCTAAACCTAACAGAAAAAAAAATATTCGCATTTTTCACAATTAGTAGCTTTTTTCCAATTACCTTAGTTAAATTTTCATTATTCAAATAAATAAATTTCAATAACAACAAATAAAAATGCTTTTATATATAAATATATATTACTATAATAATTACCATACGCGCAAAGCTACTAATTTTGTAAAATGCGAATATTTTTTTTAGGTGATCCACGTAAGGTGACCCATATACTTATCTCAGAAACTACTGGAGTCACAAAAAATTTGTAAGAAACAAATATTCACGAAGTAAAAAATATTTTTAAAATATTATATTTTTATTTATACAGGGTGTTCGGTTTTCCTTGGGACGATACCAACTTTCTTATTTTCAATGGAACATCCTATATTTTTTTGCATTTTTGGATTCTACACACTGTTTTAGGTATACTTTATAAATATATTAATTAAGAAAATGTTAATACTTTTTGAGTAAAATGAGGATTTATTAAAATTTCTCTAAATGTAGACATTCGCTAAAAGTTAAAAATAACCAACTAAAAGTTATTATTTTTTATATTATGTAGCATTCATCTCTTTAATAATAAGTAAGTTAATTAATTTATTTTTTGGAAAAAATTATACAGGGTGTTTTCTTTGAATAATGAAAATTTAACTAAGGTAATTGGAAAAAAGCTACTAATTGTAAAAATGCGAATATTTTTTTTTCAGTTAGGTTTAGGTATAGGACATATATATATAAAATGAAAGGTAATTACTTATTCTATCCAATTATGCAAAAATATATAGGGTGTTCCATTGAATAAAAACAAGATTTTAAACTTTTAAAATCGCTATTTTCAACGGGACATAGAAAACACCCTGTATGATATTTTCCAAAAAATATAATAATTAACTTATAGCTTACTTATTATTAAAGAGATGGATACTACATAATATAAAAAATAATAACTTTTAGTTGGTTATTTTTAACTTTTAGCGAGTGTCTACATTTAGAGAAATTTTAATAAATCTTAATTTTACTCAAAAAGTATTAACATTTTCTTATTTAATATATTTACAAAGTATACCTAAAAGAGTGGGAAGAATCCAAAAATGCAAAAAAATACAGGGTGCTCCATTGAAAATAAGAAAGTTGGTATCGTCCCAAGGAAAACCGAACACCCTGTATAAATGAAAATAAAATATTTTAAAAATATTTTTTACTTCGTGAATATTTGTTCCTTACAAATTTTTTGTGACTCCAGTAGTTTCTGAGATAAGTATATGGGTCACCTTATGTGGACCACCCTGTACACTGGCATTTGCTGACTTGGCCTGAGCAATTGCCTAAAGGGCCCTTTTATCAAATGTACTGTTAGGGTCTTCTAGATATTTTGTACTCTTTTTTGTAATGACATTAGAAAAATAAAAATTAATCTCAAATTGTTATTAATTTTTCATTTTTCATTTATTTCGATTTTTCAAAATTTAGTTTTCCATTTATTTATATTGATCAGAATCCCTTTTAATAAAAGCTTTCATATTATCTAAATACATACATGTTTGTCCAGGACAACATATTTTTTTCTACGCTTACGGAGTAGGTATGACCTTTTAATATCACTTTTTAATGTTGTTGTGTTATAGGATATTCATTATATCACAAACAATATAGGACAAACTGTCGTCAACGAGTTGTTGCGGTCATTATGCGCATCCCCATTATATGAGAGAATTTTCAACCAAAAGGGGCTGTTCAAGTAAGAGAAGTCGCAACATGTACCTTAGTTTACCAAAACAAATGTACTTGGGGGTGAACACTAGGTTCCAAATGAAATTTAATGCCTATTGATAGTAATTAAATTAAAATCATAGATAATGGTTAAAATGCATTAAAATATTCAATTACACCCAGCAAACCATTTACATAGCCATGATATAACTAACAAAGAACATTGCCATATAAAATTGTTTACATAACATTTACATATTAGTTCTTTATTTTGTTACATAATTATGATAAAACATAGTAATATTACATTTATATAAATATGTTCCCCTCTTGTTATATTTACATCTCCCTTATGTATCAGCCATATAACAATGTTATATATCTACAATGGAACAATGATACATAATTGATATATGGCAATGTTTTATAGTATCCATATAACATTATTATATGGTATTTACATAGTTTTTCTTTATTTTGTTACATAATTATAATAAAACATTTTAATATAATAGTTATATAAAAATGATCCGTTCTTGTTATATTTACATCCCTACTATGTCATGGCTATATAACAATGTTTTATACCTACATTGTAACAATGATATATAAATGTTATATATTAATGTTTTATAGTATTTATATAGCCTTTTTATCTTACTAACGAACTCGTTTAAACGGTTGTGTCGAGTGCTCTCTATTGTGTTTTAAGTTAAGTTAAATTTGATTCCATTGTTTTATAATAAAATGGAACAAAAAAATAGAAAAAAAATATATTTCCCTATCCCGGAGGCAAAAGCGGAGGAGAATTAATGCAGATCTTAAAATAATGGGCGTGGAGGTAAGAAATTGTATACAAAATACCCAAGACAATGTGGAAAGTGTACCTTTGCCAGAATATACTGAGGCTAAAACCGAAGTATTATCTTCCCCTAACCAGCCAATAAATAAACAGCTCAATAAAAATATTTTTACAGAAAATTTGGGAGAGGAGGTCATAGGGAAAATTCCCATACTTTTGTGGAAGATTTGCAAAATTTGTGTAATAGATACCTAGTCAACTTTTTATTAATGATCTGTTAAAAGTTTTGAGAAAACATTATTGCAAAATAAGAAGTAGAGGCTGAACTTGTAAGTATATAAAGGGCGATTTTAAACCTGTTTGATAATGTTAATTTGTTTTTAAAACAGGGTGCTAAAAAAACAAGCGAAAAATTATAATTTAATGATATTTGGTAGCCAAAATTAGAGTTTAATATCTATAAATTTTTAACTTTATACTGTTTTTTCAACTGGTAAAGGATACAATAATTTTGCTAAATAAGATGAATACACTTTTTTATTATAATTGTTGTGACAATTAATTTTATGCATTTGGCTTGAATTAATAAAATCAAACAAATTATTATTTGTACCAAATATCATTTACAAAACTACATAAAGAATAGTTGTTCTTTGTTTTGAAAACAAATCAATAAACAAAAATAATATTAAATACTATTTTTTTTAAGTTTCAGTACATAAAAATGAAGGCGTCTCCGAAAAAGATTCTACAGTAAGAGTTTAAAAAAAATCTGGCAAAAGATTGCTCTTGGCTAGGCCTAAGAAACAACAAAAAAATACAAAATTTAAAATTTGTTGAAATATTGAAGGGGAAAAATGTAAGTTTTATGGCTTTTTTTATTAAATATTTTTTTTAAGCTGCTATTTGCACTTCAACAGACAAAAATTTTGAAAACATAGTTACCGAATGGTTCCATATAGGTGACATAGCTGTTGCATAGTAAGGAACAATTTTTATGTAAATGTTATATCACTGTGACATGATTTGGTTTGCTGGGCAGACTTCCTTTTATACATTTAGTGTTGGACCAGGCACAATTATGAGGTCATCGATGACGTGTACGTCGTTTCCTTTTAAATTTACTATATATAATACCAATACTAAATGTATAAAACTAAGTCTGTAATTGTTGTCATTTTTAGATTAAAATTTTGCTTTATAAAATGACGCATAGAAAAAGAAATTGACGTTTTAGAATTTCGAAGTTGTCAGTTGTGTTTTTGAATATTTCGTTGAATGCATGTATAATTTCGTTTATTTTGTTTGTTATTTGTTTTATTTTATATCGTTTAAGTTTTCATTGCCGTTTTTGTGTTTCTCCTATATTTAAAATGCCGAAGCATTTAAATAGTCGGAGTCAAGAGTTGGTATCATCCTTAATACGCTATTTTGAGGCAGAACGGGATAATAATAGACCTTTGTTACCTTTAACAGCTGTTAGAGAGGTAAATAGGATTATTATTAACTATATATTAGAATATTTAACTAAATATATGTTGGATATATAAAATAATAATATATATACCAGAGACTTAAGATGGCAAAATTTCTCGGTTTTATAGATGAAAATGTCTTTAAAAATGGCTAAAAACATACTTTTGGCGGTGCATCATATAGGTTATAAAACTCTGACTTTTGACATTTTGGTATTCTAAGGTCCCAAATCTAGGGACCCTATGGTATTATTCATGTAAACGCCATCTATCGACTGTAGTTGCACTACCACTTTCACTTGATGCAATGATTTTAGCATTACATTTACAACCGTGCCCGATCAGCTGATTGATGACGTGTACGTCGTTTCCTTTTAAATTTACTATAGGTGCGCCACTTTCCGGACAAAATTGCACTTTCCATCAATTCAATTATTTCTAATTGATCTGAAACACGTTTGAAATTTGCATATCCCGCGCTCGTGAAACCGTCAAACCCGCCTTTGGCTCGTTTTCAAACTTGTTATAAAATATACATCTGCCGGTGTTTTTTCCAAAGAAACTTTTTTAAGCGGGGTGCATTGTCTGACAAGGCCTTTATCTAAAATCCGACACTAAATGCATTATAGCTAAAATTAGAATCCTTTTTCAGCAGTGAAAATTTGATTAAAAAGTCCACAGGAAAAGAGTTTTTTTAAAGTTTGCTCTCAGCAGATATTTTTAGAATAAAATAAACATTGATGTAATAAAATTTGTATTGGGAAAATAATTTTTTATCTGCCAATATTCTTAAAACTTATAAATATATAAAACTTCTTAAAAATATAAAATCACACACATGGACTACTGTTTCTAGGAGGCAACAAATATTTTTTTAAAGGCATTGTCTTATAAAAAGTAATCGAATCCAAAACCCACACTTCCTTAACACAAGTAGTGTCATCTTGGTTTCTATATTCTCCTATTATTACTTTGGCCTTTTCTGGGTTTAGAACTATTTTGCCTTTACAAAACTCAATCAGCTCCTTTAAATCAGACCATCTTGGAGTGGTTGATTTAGCAACATAAATATTTCCTACATCTCGAAAAACGTCCATAGAGTATTTAGAACCAAAAGCTTGGCGTTGTAAACGACTTTGCTAAAAGAAAAATAGTTAGTAAAAATGTTATACCTAAAATATAAAACTGTAATACTTGTACTGTGTGTGAGAAATCGGTTTCTTCAAAATCTTCTTCTGGGAGCCATTTTCCTGCTTCTAAAGAAGCGTACAACTAAAAGATATATGTTTTAATCCATCATAGGCTTCAAAATGTTAACTTACCCATTCCTTCTTGAGTACCCAACAACCTAATGCAATTGCCCTTAACATGTTAATCGTTCTTTTTGGTTCGCCAGCAACCACATGCGTCGTATTTCTGGTAACCTCATCCTCAGTTTTAAAACGACCTAATTTCTTCACAATAGAAGTAAAAGTTTCCACCTCGGTCTTATGCATTTTCGTACAAACTATACTAGGCTGTTTGCCAACGTCAATCCTCACCTTCTTTAAACTTTGCGATAGACTTTGGAACTCAAGAGTACTCCTTCTCACAGGAGTTGTAGGAACTGCGAAAACATAATCTTGGTCTTTTTGAGTTAATCTTTGAGATCTTCTTTTAGAGTTTTCACTTTGGCTTTCCAAAACTTTGGGTCTTCGTTTGGGAGTTTTGGGATTCACGAATTCGTTTACTAGATCTTTTTGTTCGTCAGCTGAAGTATTAAGGGAAACATCTTTTTCCTTCTTAGCTTTCTTTGGTTTCTTATCAGGTGGTTTGATCGATTCCACAACTTTCATTAACTCTTGCTCTGCTTCCCTTTTGTTAATCGCTTTCAGTTTCTTATTAGGCGATTTTATTGATTCCAATTCTGGTTCGGTCGGAACTGATTCAGTCCACTTTTCTGGTGGATTTTGTGAAATTGTTTCAGAAATTGTAAGACCTTCGTCAGCAATACGTTTTAAAGCTCGTAAACGTTTTTCTTGCCTTTCCAAATCATCACTGTGAAGATATAGAGTTTTTGGAGAGTCTGTGGGATTATATAACCTTCTCACACGTTTTTGTTTTTTTTTTGGCGAGTCTGAACTGCTTTCTTCACTTTCTGTGGATGTTTTCTCTGCTTCAGTTACATTTTTATTAATATTTCTTTTGGGTGTTTTCTTCGTTGTAAACTTATCATCACTAATATTTTTTATCTCTTTATTAGTTGTTTTGTTGCTTTTGGGGGTTTTAGGAGTTTTGTTCTTTATGTTTTCTTCGTCAAGATTAAATTTATCTATATTATTATTAACATTGATTTCTCTGTTTTTAGGAGTTGCTTTTTTATTCGATTTAATCTTATCTAGAGGTTCGTCACTTATATCGGTGTTAGTTTCTAAATTAGGTTCCTTGCAAGCTTTTACTAGTCTTTGGCTCTTTCTTCTAGACGCATTATCATTAAAAACAGATTCCTTCTGTAAACTGCTGGGTGTTTTATTATTAATTTTTTTTCTTCTTGTTGTTATATTATCATCAATAATAGAAATTGCAGAAATAATATCCACAGGACTAAAGGACAGTTTTGAACTTGCTCTAGAGATCGCAGAATCATTCAAATTGCTGTCTGTTAAAGGTAATTTAGATTGTCTTCTGGTTCTCCCGTAATTTATCTCACTGGAACTTGAGCTATCATTGAAAGAATTATCTGTTGCTGTCTTAGTAATAGCAGAATCTTTCGATTTTGTTGGAAATAGAGGCAATTTTGAACGCTTTTTTTCTTTGTCGCTGGAATTTAAACTTTCATTAGGACATACCGTTTCTGATAATCTTAATGACGCTAGCTCTGTGGAAAAAAGTTTTGACTGTAAGCTTGATAAATCGTTTTTGTCAGAAGATAAGCGCAAAGAAGACATAGTTGAAGATTCGTCAGACTTTTTGTTTCTCTTAGTGCTTCTTACAGGTTTAATTTTAGAGTTTACCTCCCTAGCATTGGGATCCAGCCCATTGCTCGCAGAATTATCAGACACTTTGAGAGATGACATATCTGTGCTTCTGGAATCAATTTTAAAAGCGTTTTCAGATGACACCTTTAAATCGGACATGTCAGTTCTTGTGGTTGTAGTTGCACTTTTAGTAGACCCGACGCGTAGCGATGACATGTTTGTTGTTGTGGTGGTAGTATTGGAGTTGCTTTTATTTAAATTTGTAGTTTGCAAAGGACTACTGCAATTTTTGCTTAGAATTTCGATGTTATCCGATGACGAAAGATGTAAATTGGACATATTGGTGTTATCTGAACTTACTTTATTCACATTTATACGTTTAAGAAGGCTTTCATCTGATATATTAGTCGATTTGTCAGATGAGCTTGTCGTTTTTGTAACGTGTGTTTCTTGAAAAAGAGTTTTTCTTCTATTTCTTGTGTTTTTAGGTGTATTTTCTTTAGTTTCCAATTTCTTCCTTCCAGATTTGCCCATACTATTTAAAATTCCTGTGAGCTCCATATCAATTGAATCTTGCGGTGCGTTAATTTCCCTTAGACTTTTTCTAGCGGCACCTCTACGATCTTGTATATTAGTTAAATCCATATCCGATGTTTCAGGTTTTTTATTTCTCAAGTAACTAAGTAAATTATCTGAATTATCATCAAGTATGGTATCGTCAATAACAGTGCTAAAATTATCTATGGAGATTTGGGCTTTGTCAGGTTTTTCCCCATTGATTAATCCCACTTCTGAATCATCATCTGAAGTCAATTCAGGACTAATATCTTCTAAAACTGCACTATTTGGCCTTAAGCTTTTATAATCAATATCGGTTCTACGACGATTTTTATTGCTTTGACTGCTCTCTTCTAAAGTGGCGCTGGGAGGTCTGCAAAAACTCGGATTAATATTGGTTCTTCTGCGGTTGATACGATCCACCTCTTCATCTTGGCTGAATTTTGAGAAGCTACTGGATATTATGGGAGACATAATGGTCATTCTCCTTTTTTCGCGTAAACTTTCAGTTGATGGTAATGGCGTGCCGGTGACTAAGCTTCTACGGACCTCTTCACGAATTATATCTTCGTATTCTTTTTGAATTTGCTGTAAATTTAAAATTTATTGTTCATGCAAAAAAAGTGATAAGAAAATTGACCTAACTCAAAACTCAGAATGACGATTTTAAAATTTTATATACTTATTATAAGTTCTATTATATATTATTTTATTTTTACTTTTCCTTTGCCTATGAACAGTATAGTTCATGTTTTGCAATACCCTTGCATATTTATCTCAGAATAGGCGTTTTTTGAACCGTGCCACTTTTTTTAACATGACCAAAAGTATTGTTTATGTATTGTTTATTAAACATTTTTCAGTCCAAATTTTTAGAACATTTAAAATTGCAAATTAACCATAGAAAAGATGTGTCGCATATTCTAGAGGTTTGAAATTAAGCAAAAACATTTGTCCAGAATGAAATTTTATGAGAAATGTAAAATACATTTTTTACTCTTTGTAACCCCATCCGTGGACATTTTCTTATAAATTTTAGCGCGCTGAATTTAAACATCGCAATAAAGTTTTGTACAATATGCAATGGTCTCAAATATTAGATCAGATGAGAATGCAACATTTACTTTGAATCAAAGTAGGGCTACTATGATCCACACCCAGAAATCCCACCACGTGACTTTGATACCAATAATAATCTTTCTAAAGCTAATTTCGTCTTATTTTCTGAAAATAATACAATATATGTATTTTTGTGGGTCAATCCATGTCAAATCACCGAGATTATTGACCATTGGATCGTCGTATTATACCGAAACGTATATCGGCTTCGTTTTGTCTCATACTCCTTAAACGGTTTTGCGAAATACCCAACCGTTTCGCAATAAACGGTACCGCCATGGCGCGCCATTTTAAAAACTTAATCAAACAAACGCGTCATGTGCGGGACATTCCATAAAAATGCGGACATCATGAGGAAAATCCCATTGATGGTTTATACATGGAGTTAATAATTGGTGTATAATCTATCTAATCCCTATATTTTCAGCTTAGAAAAAACGACTGGCTAATATGGCTGAATCTTCTTTGAAGTCAGTCGTTGGAATTAGCAGTTGAATCTACCTTGAAATCAGCTGTACATTATGTACAACCCGACGTGGACTTCAATACTTCGATACTGAAGACAACGGTTTTCGCATAGTGGAGCGACTGGCTGAATCTTCTATGAAGCCAGCAATGACAACGAAGAACAAGATGTAGACCAAAAGGTCTATCCTTCCCGTCCCGACCTCTTTTATGATTCTACTGGGCGTATAGCAACGGCCTACTGGGCGTATAACAACGGCCCGGCGAAACCGGGAGGGGTTATTACAAAATATTTGCTCGTCACTCTCGAGCCCCAAATAGGGTACAAAAAACACGGGTGAAGCCGTGCAGTTGTTGGTGACGGAAAAAAATGACGTTCAGTAACGGATGGTTTCGCGGTGCTTGGGAGAGATGAGGCAATGTGGCCAGTTATACTCAATAATACGTATATTATACTACTTGTTCATTCCTAAATAAAGTTTACTAATCATGATAGAGTTTTTCATTGTAAAATATAGTGTTAAATATTATGCATTCCACTCAATTACGTATATAGCTTTTTTTGTACCTAATTTTTTTTTTTTTTTTTAATGTATTTATTAAACCCTAAAAGATTACAAGCATCTACAACAGGTATAAATTAAAGAATATATATTAATACATGTCAAGTTCTCAGTGAGAACAAAATTTTTTTTAAATTAAGAATAAATAAGTTTAAGGATGTAAGCATTTTAATATTTTCTGGTAGTTGGTTAAACAATATCACAGCCTGAGAGATCTTCTTGTTTCCCACATTTGAAGAATTTGGTACCACATGGAAATGTTGTCTGGTCCTTGTATTGTGTTTGTGTAAATCACAGTTTAATTGCAGCTTAATTTTGGTAATTAAAATATTGTTTTTTATTTTGTACACTAAGATCATGGAGTCTAGATTAATGATTTCCTGAATCTGAAGTATTCTAAGTTCTTTGTACATTTCTATTGTGTTTGCCATAGGTGGTTTATTAAATATTATTTTTAATGATTTGTTTTGACAAATTTGTAAATCCTTAATATCACATTTTCTGGCCTGTCCCCAAATGCATGGGAGGTAAGTTAAGTGTGAATGAATATATGCATAGTAGATCTGGAATTTGGTTTTTTGATTCATTAGGAATACATTTCTGCGTAAAAAGTAGCACATATTGTTGATGGTTTTTTTAACTTCACGTATGTGTTGTTCAAAATTTAGTTTATTGTCTATAGTGAGTCCGAGGTAATTAGCATGTTTTACTTCACTTATTGGCGTATTGTTTATCCTTAGGCTTATTGGTGAAGAGTGTGTATTCTTAAAAACTATATAATTGCACTTATTTTCATTTAACTTAATATTATTTTGACTAGTCCAATCACAGATTTTAATAAGGTCTCTTTGAGCATCTTCGAAAATTTCCCTTTCATTACCAGTATAGAATAGTGCAGTGTCGTCAGCGAATAGTGTCATAGAGCCTTTTATATCACAGTTAGTTATATCATTTATATATATTGAGAAAAGTAAAGGGCCAAGCACCGATCCCTGAGGGACACCAGAACACACTAGACTAGTATCACTTTTCTTATCACAGATCTGGGTAAATTGTTTCCTATTTTGGGGATAGCTAGTAAATATTTTAAAAGCTTGATTCTGAATGCCAATTGATAGTAGTTTCCTAAGAAGTATTTCATGATCTACAACGTCGAAGGCTTTGCATAGGTCAAGAAATATAATCATTGTTGTTTTCTTTTGATCAATACTTAAAAATATGTCTTCCATTAAGTTTGTTATAGCAGTAAGGGTGCTTTTCTTGCTACGAAAACCATGTTGCTGTTCACAGATGAAGTTGCTTTCTTGTAAGGAGTCGTTTCTTCAGCGTTGTTTCAAATATTTTTGAGAAGACTGATAGGACAGAGATTGGCCTATAATTGTTTACGTCCGTCGTTTGGCCCTTTTTAAAAATAGGTGTGACTCTAGCTATTTTTAAAATGTCTGGAAAAGTTCCAGTCTTGTAGTGTTTATTTATTATTGATGATACCACTGTTGATAATGGCTCGGCCAATTTTTTTATCAGGGAAACTTTTATTTCATCATGTCCAGGGGCAGCATTCGTCTTTAATCCTTGAATGATTGAGTTAATCTCTTGAGGAGTAGTAGGTCTGAGAAACATTGAGGATTTTTGTATGTAGTTATATATTATGTTTTGTTGTGAATGATAATTATTTTGTGTGATTATTTCCTTGACTATATTTATAAAGTAGTTGTTAAACACCTCAGCAAGTTTTTGTTTATTAGTTATTTGTTCTCCAGAAACAATAAGTTTTTCACAGCCTTTATTTTCAACTATCATCCCTGTAAGTTCTTTAATAAGTTTCCATCGTTTTGCAGCCGAGTCATTGTGTTCATTTAGTTTTGTTTCAATATGTTTTTTTTTTATTGTAGGCAATTTTGTTTTTTAATTGTTTGTTAAGTATTTTTAGTTCTGTTCTGTATATATCACTTGTGGGAAATTTTTTTGATAGTAAATAAATGTTGTCCCTTTCTTTAATTTTTTCTTTTATTTCCCTTGTGAGCCATCCTTCTTTGATGTCACTTGTATATTTTCTTGCCATTGTAGATGTGTTTCTTTTGATTTCGGTAGTTATCATGTTTATAAGGTGATCAAATGTTAGGTTAGGTTCTCTCAGATTTTGCATATTGTTCTGGACATTTGTTTCAAGTTTTTGGAAGTTGGTAATTTTGGAATAATAAATTTGTCGAGGTTTCTTTGGTTTGGAGCCGTTGATTGATAAATTTATGATCTTGTGGTCGGAGATGTTATGATCGTAGAGTTCAATTTTTGAATCAACCTTTATATTTGTTAGGATGTGATCAATAATTGATTTGTAACCTGTATGTACATCCACTCTAGTGGGTTTAGGAGGGGATATTTCATTTATAATTTCGAATCCATTGCTAGAGACAACATTTATATAGTCTTCTTCAGAGTTCAAAATATTTATGTTCATATCTCCAATTAGTAAGAGTTTTTTATATTGGAGTAGGTCAGATTCAAGAAATTGTATAAAGTCAGTTTTTGGAGCACTTGGTTTTCTGTGGTGATTTTAATGTAAATTTTGCAAATTACAACGATAATAACACAATACTATTAACTAATCTAATGAATAACTATGGCCTACAGGGTCATGTAACCGAAAACACCAGGGTAGGACTTCATTCAGCTACATTAATAGATAATATATTTTCTAATCTTAATAGTAACATGGTTCTCTGTACAGTTGTTGAGACTGACATATCTGATCACCATGGGCAATTGTTAGAGATTGCTGTAGAGCCCGTACAGGATACTCTCCGGGAATACAAACGTTTTACTAACAAACAAAATACTCAACTTTTCAAAAATAGAATAGGCCAAGAAACTTGGGAATGTGAAAATCCCTGTACAATGTCAAATGACTGTTTTGAGACTTTCTATAGCATATTCCTACATCATTTTGAAATATCATTTCCTTTAAAACAATACGTAGTAAACAAAACAAACAAAAAATGGGTCTCAAATGAAATAAAAAATTGGGCACAATATATAAAAAACCTTCACTGGATTTATATAAATACAAATACTGAACAAAGCAAGCAAATATATCTAAGTGAAAAAAGAACTTACAAAAAGTATATACATAATTATAAAAGATCCCTAAATGACAATAAAATAGCAAACTCAACAAATATAACCCAAGAAACATGGAAACTGTACAAAAAGCTTACACACAACTGTTCTGAAAGTAGCAATATAATGCTACAGGATAGAGGAGCAAGTGTGACCGATACGAAAAGTGTAGCTAACTTGTTCAATAGAGCATTTACAAGTATACAAATGAGTCCACCTCAATTTGAAAATGATTTGTTAAGATCCACAGCAAACTTTTTTCTGATCCCTACGGATACGTCTGAGGTATATGATGTCATCAGATCAATCACAACAAAGCATTCA